CATGGCACACTTAACATTATTCATGTTTTTGATGATGAAAATGTACCAATGCACACTGAACATTTTTCTTATCGCCCTTTATTTCCCTTAGCCCTAACCCACCCAAGCATTCTACTGCAACATATAAAGAAGTGATTCTCAAACATCTAGAAGGGCTTGAAATGAAATTGATCACTGTATTCCCAATCTCAGAACTTCTGAACTAACAGGTATTTTTTTTTTTTAGAGAAAATAGTATATATTTTCTTATATTTAAACTATTTGTTTTCATTATTTTTGAAATGTGAAGTAAATTCTTTTTTCAGATTTTTTTATTTGAATTAAAAACAAGATTGTTTTACATGACAATCCCAGTTCCTTCTCCCTCCCCTCCTCCCCTACCACTACAACTAAAACCCTACCTATCACATATCCTTTCTCTCTTCTTCCCCTGACTCAACCTTCCTGCTCCTGCATCCTTCCTCTTCTTCCCTTCTCATTCTCTAGCTCCCTCCTCCTCTTCCCATGCTCTCAATTTGCTCAGGGGATCTTGACCCTTTTCCCTTCTCCAGGGGACCATGTATGTCTCTCTTAGGGTCCTCCTTGTTTATTACCTTCTCTGGCAGTGTGGATTGTAGGCTGGTAATCCTTTACTCTATGTCTAAAACCCACATATGAGTGAGTACATATTATGTTTGTCTTTTTGTGATTGGGTTACCTAGCTCAGAAGGTTTCTTCTAGTTCCATTCATTTTCCTGCAGTTTTCAAGATTCCATTTTTTTTTTCCCGCTGGGTAGTACTCCATTGGGTAAATGTACCACATTTTCTCTATCAGTTCCTTGGTTGACTGGCATCTAGGCTGCTTCCCATTTCTGGCTATTACAAATAGTGCTGCTATGAACATCATTGAACAGATGTCCTTGTTGTATGAATGTGCTTCTTTTGGGTGCATGCCTAAGAGTGGATTTGCTGGATCTTGTGGTGGACTGATTCCCATTTTTTTGAGGAGTTGCCATACTGATTTCCAAAGTGACTGTACAAGTTGG